CATTGGAATCTAGCAGATGCTTTTTTGCCCTATTTAGTACTCATCAGTCGGGGGAAACTGTATCCATGTGTGAGTGAACCAAATACAAAGTTTGTACTAGGGGCTGACAGTGTCAAAATTTCTGCCTCTGAAATTTTCGACCCAAGACTTCTCATTACAAATTCTAGTAAGTTGCATAACTGACTTATCTCTCTCTCTGTCACGAAATAAATGATTGTTAACCGAACACAACACGATAAAATTTCTAGGAGTGGTTGAATTTATTCTCTAAATGATCTCTTTTCGAACAGTTATTCTTTTAACACCTGACGTCATCGTATCTTTAGGCAACTTTCGCTTATAAATACATATAGTACAGTAGTAAATTTCAGTTACTATTAGATGGTTGGAGGCAATCGGCAAGAAGCCTTCCTTGAACTAGGTTTCGTACTAGTTGGCACTCATCAGTACAAGGCATATCTACAACCTTCAAGGAACTCATGTCCCTTCCAAGATATGAACCCGCGTCACCCAATGCCGCCTGCAGTCAGAGACGTTACCACTGAGCTATCAAGGCTCGCAACAGACCTCCTGTAGGACTGTTTCGGATATTTTTGATTGGAGACTTGTTAGTAACTAATGTAATGTGTCTAGCACTATGTTTGTTGCGGACTGAATTCTGTCAGTCAAGTTTTCAGTGTGACCAACATTCTAGATGGCTGGCCATCATGGTGCACTTTGAATTTTTGATATTAGATGGTTAGAGACAGGTATATCCTGGACCGACGTGAAGAAGCTAGAAAACCTGGATTTCGCGCTTGGATGATTTATGTTTGATGTCACAAAAAATCGAAGACTTACAAGCGAAAACCGACAAACTGGTCGAAGAAGCAGCCAGAGAAGACAGGACTCCAGGTGAACATAGACAAGATGGAGGTTACGAAAATAACCAACCAACAACAACAAGAACAACAGCAGCAGAACATCCAGCGCCAATCACCATCAACGGGAGGGATTTGAAAGAGGTTACTTCATTCACTTATCTAGGGAGCATCGTCTCAACTACAGGAGGAACGGACGAGGATGTCAAATCGAGCGAGAATCGGGAAGGCGAGAAACACATTCATCAACCTGAAACCAATCTGGAAATCTTCGTCACTCAACTCAGCATCAACAACAAAATGATTCGGATTTTCAATACAAACGTCAAGTCAGTCAGTTCTTCCATACGGATCAGAAACTTGGCCAGTGGGTCACAAAGAATATTTCCAACAGCCTATTGCAGACCTTTATCAACAACTGTCTTCGTTCTATACTGAAGATCAGATGGCTGGAAAGAATCACCAACAAGAAAATATGGGAACAAACAAAACAAGAACCAATCGCTCAACAAATATGCAGGAGAAAGTGGAGATGGATTGGACACTCGCTGAGGAGGCCACTGGGTAACGTCGCGCGTCAGGCCATCGCTCGAGTGGAACCCGAAAGGGAAGCGGCGAGTGGTTCGTCGGTGCAAGGGTGACATGGAGGAGATCGTGTGAAGAGGAGTTGAAACAGTGTGGACTAACATGGATGCAAGTGAAAAGTACAGCAGAAGACAGAAGCAAGTGGAGATGTGCAGTTGAAGCCCTATGTTCCACTAGGAACCCAAGGGAATAATAATAATAGAGACAATCTGCAAGAAGTCTTGGACCAAGGTTTCGTGCCAATGAAGTGGGTTCAAATCTCAGAAGGAATATGAGTTCCTTCAAGGTTGCAGGTACGCCTTACTGACGAGTGCCAACTAACCGTGATGGCGAGCTAACTATAATGGTGACTCCATTGCAAACTTGACTGATAGAATCCAGTCTGCACCAAACAAAGGACTACACACATTACACTAGTTACTGACTAGTGTCCAATCAAAAATTTCAGTTACTACTGGAAGAAGTACTGTATACTGTTGGTTCATGTCCATTTCTAAAAAACAACCTACATAATCGAATCAACTGTCATTGGGATGTCGACTATTTTACAGATGCATCCACCTGAATTGTGTCTCTATCAGCGTCGGTGGCACAGTGGTTAGGACTCTCGCCGACCATGCACATGGTCCGGGGTTCGATCCCCTGCCGACGCACACCTAATATCAATGGTCGGCCTGCAAAATTTGGGCTACCGATATCACATGCTGAAAATTCCATACTTGTACCAAATACTGTGTGGAATCAAGCTATAATAAAATATAAAATATGAAAAAATATAAAATATATTTATTCTCAAAAATACGTTTATATACTGTATAGTATTTTCAATATCTTTTAGTTACTCTTTGTACAGATTCTTCAAGTAAATTAGTAATCTACAGTATACTATTCGATGGAATATTGGTAGATTTCAATACTGCTCTAACTTCTGATGGAATTGTCACCTCAAAACAGACCTACAGGTAATAGTGAAAGTCATTTAAAAATGTATGTAAGCCCAGATCACTCTTCAATCAACCAATCAAAAGGGAGTTTAGAATAATCATAGAATAATCCATATTTTCAAATGGCTTGTATGGATTTATCCTGTAATACTGTTTTACTCTGAATAGAAGCAGTGTTATGGCGAACTGTTCCGGTAGTTAAACAGTAGAATGTTCATCAGTCACACATGTGATATAGATATGATTCGATGTGATACGGTAATATACCCACAAAAGAAGGAAGGTTGGCTGTGAAGCTAACACTTGCATCGTGTTAAAAGAAAACAACACCATTACCACTGAAACTTTAAAGCTTGATGCCATTTGTTCGATTCGGAGCGCAAAGAATGAGAAGAGCTGTGGCAGGATACATGAACCATCCTTCTAATTAACTAGTTATTTTCTAATTATCATAATCGTTTATCAGTCAAGCGATATTACGTTGATATGTTAATGCTAAGCAAATGGTTATAAACGATTTATGCTTATTTTGGTGCATATAATCATCGCTGATCAATACAATTACAATGAATTCTAGAAGTGAATGTAAACGTTTAGTAGGTGTTGTGTTAACGCCTATACTGGTTGATACCTTAAACTATCAGATATCCTGCCGCAATTTCAGAAACACGCTGATTTAGCATATTACTCAGAAAACAATACCGATACATGTGGATTAGAGGGGATGAAAATATGCAGAAACAACCAATCACTGTTAAGGTTAACAGGATAGATGGTTGACAAAGCTTGTGAATAATTCTAAAAGCTCACTTCAAATTGAAGTACGCATTGAAGATATTGTCTAGAAAGATAATGAAAGGTTCGCAACTAAACCATACAGCTCAAAAAATACAACGACACTGAAATCATCCACATGAGCTACAAAAGTCCTTCATTATATTTAACTTAAATGCTTAGAAAGTCTATTAGTCCAGCTGCATAAAGCTGGATTATACTCCACCCACATCAGTAATCATCTGACTCTGACCTATGCAAAATCATTTGTAGAATTCGCACCCTGACTAATATAATATGGAGTATTTGGGCTACAGGTGAACAGATATAATGACTTTTTACAATTCAATCGACAAATTCCTGCACATTAGAAATGATCCCTTCTCGAGAAGGAAAAAACAAACAAAAACAAAATCCATTGATGTGTGTGTCCTATTTTCTTTTTTTTCGTTTGAACTTTATTCATTAAAACAACAATGAATATATGTAGACAAAAAAAAGCACAACATTTCCGAGTAAAACAAAATTCAATACAAACAGAGCTGCCAAATTAGATGAAATTTATCTTTGTATGACTTCCCTTCTACATGAGCAGTAGTCATAATGAATAAATAAATAAGTAAATACATAAATAAGTGAGGAATGAATGGTATAGGTAAACAAAACTGATGAAAGCATGAAGCGACAAAACAAATTTTTAGAAAAAAAAACACAAAACAAAAGAAAAACACAAAAATAAATAAATAGATCAATAAATAGAAAACAAATGAACAAACAATAAATAATGATTAAGCTGAAAATGAGAAATAAAGTGTAGAGGAACCAAAAAATAACAAAGGAATGCTTATTATTACTACTATTATTATTATTATCTATATATGTTGAATCGTTTATAACAAGTTATACAATAAGTGCAATAAATACATCAAATAATGAGTGACCAGAAAAGGACAGAGTTGGACAAAACAAAACATTATTTCAGATAAAATGGTTGTTAAGTTTGTTGCTGTCGTTGAAATCAATCAATCAATAAATGAATAAATACATAATACATGAGTTTAGTACAAATTCACAGACTATGCAATTACTTGGAACATGACTTTTGATTTGAAATATGCATAAATGACAATATATAATAGAGTAATATAGTTGTTTGTTTTTTTTCAAAATGATAAATCAATGAAATATTTATTGATTAATGATATGATTTAAATTAACTAAATACAATCCTCTATTTCAAAGAGGAGATCACAGAGAAGCAATCAGTGCTGCTAAAGGGCTTCCATTTCATTTTGTTGTTGATAAATTTATGACAATAGTAGTAATAATAATATGAATATTAATAATAATGATAATAATAATAATGATCAATAACTGAATATTAAGTACACAAAGTCTTCTACATTACCATATATGTGTGTATAAGTGTATACAACATAATTACTTCATAAGAAGATGTTCCATATTACAAATAGTAGAATAAATATAAAGTGCACACCGAATTTCACATATGAAATATAAGGATAATGAAGAAATAATGTCAGAATAATGCTTATGATTTCACCATTGACCACGTCTCCCTTCATCAGCTTTCATTCTCAAGAGTTATTCAACTCAATTATCAGTAGAGATGTATGATACCGTTGTTAGTCAGTTCATGATATTGTTTTAAATTGTCTCTGTGAGTATATGTGTATATGAGTGTGGATTAGCATGTACGCGTGTGTGTATGGTATATTTGTGTGTATACAAGTGGCGCATAACTTTCCACTCATAAAATTACAAAATATTCAACATTCAACAAATTGATAAGTAAAGTTAAACTAATGTTTAAATCCTATTTTTTTAAATTGTGTGCAACATCCATTGTTGAAAACTGTAGTCTGAGAAGTTGGTTGGTTGCTTTCACCATACTGTGAGATGATATATGAATGGGACTAAACATACATATATATGCATAAGCGTATATCCTTCGTTTCTAAATGAAAATATTTTGAAAGGAAGATATCAATATACACACATATATATATATAACAATCATAATTGATAAATCAGCGAATATTAGATTTTAAAACTACATGATTGTCGTTGATTAAGGTAAGATATCTTGCGAATGAATGTCTACCCGGTGGCCGTTTTGAATAACTGTAGTCATTAATGGCTAACCGGATCGGCATTCTTCACAAGCTATACCGATTTGTGAGTATACAGATCTTCTCATTCTTTTTAGAAAAAATAAATAGACAGAAATCATATATTATACAAAACTACATAGTTTTTTATAACTTACAATTCCACTGCTACCAGGATTTACATTTGATGACAAGACTAATAATACGATGGTGGTATTACATAGTTACGTATTCTATCATATGTTCGCATCAATTTATACGAAATGAATATCATCTATGACCTGAAACTCACCTGAAACAATACAATTAGCCAATCAGGGTACTGCTGACATTTGATTGGTTGAATTTTCTATGTGAATTTCTGTAATTGGAGATTATATATCAATGAAGACACGCCCACTCTGAAGGTCAGTGCAATAGTAATAGAAAGAGAGATTCTTCCTCTACACACGCACACACACACGTTTATTAGATCGGTGGTCTATACAAGCGTTCGATGCTCTGTTGTAGAAATACAAAACGGGTCAAATTCAGGTCAACAACACCACAACAACAAAAATCATACGATTGAGTGTGTATACAATTACGGATTAAGTGACTTACTTCTTCTGCTTTTAAAGACAACCTAGAATTATCCATTCAACAAGGAAAATAAGGATTCCCATGGAATTCAGGTCACAGAATTAGAAATAAGGTGGTGTAAAGTGACTAGCAGTGTTTTAGTGAATAAGATTAATAATAATAATAATAATAATAATAAGGGAGACAAAACTAACATTAAGCTATGGTGGAAAAGGGAAATTCAAGAAAAGAAACAAATATCTTTTTACACTGAAAAAGTTATATCATTCAAAAGATAGATTAGTAGGAGTACAGCAAAAATTCCTCTCTGAACCGAATTAGTTAATTTCCTACACAGATTAATGTGTAATACAATGAATGATAAAACCATTCTAATAATTTTCTTAGTCACTATTAAGTAAACCAAATTTTCAGTTTGCAAATTAACTCGCAGTTTACGCAGTTCGAGGTAAGATTCTCCTAAAGTTTCCCTTGGAAACTGGAATTATTCACATCAAAATATACGATACCATGAATAGTAATCAAGAAATTAAGCATAATTGTATCAAACTAGATACTACTGATCGGTTGAGAGGAGTAATTTGCAATTCGCGAGTCTGATTTGTAGAATTACCAGCTCGCCCAAGTATCTAGCGAGTAACTGGGCGGTTTGAACTGGTTCGGCTGTCTGAGGTGAGTCAAACTGGGTACACCGCTGATGAACTCAGCTCCAAACTGGCGAAACAGCCGTCCGGCGTTTAGATCACCTCGATCTGGCTAGCAAGCAACACTAGTTGATGTGAATGGTATACAACCATTCATTTTAATCAATCAATCAATCAATCAATAGTACATAATTCTGAAATCGATTAAAAAAACAGTAGAATTTTCGAACCGTGAGAGAAATTCTCCACAGAGGTATTAGAGTATCTGAGTGACGGTGTAAACACTTTTCGTTACTTGCTCCAATATTTTTTGCTAATATTCGAGTGTTGGTTTGTAGGGGTTTGATTGGTTACGGGAATTCATCATGAGCTGACATTAGTTAGAGGACCATTAGAAAACCTAAGCAGCTGTTTCGTCCTAATTTGGGACCCTTCCATCAGTACGCACCCACCGGGATTCGAACCCAGGACCTTCTGGTTACAAGGCCAGCGAGCTCGGATACCATTAGGCCACTGGGACCCGATCCAATGGCCCATGAATTCTAACTTCTACCAATTCACGACATAGCGCGACCCCTAATGTAGGTTGCAAAGGAATGGTGTTTTTTTTTCGACTGTATTTATCTATTAGTAGTAGTATTTTTATGTGTATTTTGATGAATACTAACTGTGTAGTCCATGGTGTGTACTTCGCCCAGTTTCAGGCTTATCCGTTAAATGAACACTCAGCCATCCATATGAATGAGAACTTTAAGTACTTCAAGTACTGGAAAGTTATTTCAGTAAGTTATTTGATATTGACAATAAGTAAACGCGCTATTCTATAAAGAAACTTAAGCCAGCTTTGGTGCAAACTTAAAACCTTTACAGCCAAACATATAAAGTGGGTAAAAGGCAGTATAGAATTCCCAAATGGGCCAGTGTATGTGCCAGGCCAGAATAATCAGATAACAAAACATATACATATACTACCGATTCCTGAGAGTAGTTCAGTGGATCTCGTACTAATCAGACGAGAATGATTGAAATGGTAAACAGTTGTTTCACTTCACGGAGAGAGAGACAGAGAAAGAGAGTATCCTTCAGATTACATGATTACTGCCAACTTGTTTCAGATAGTCGATGGCATCTCCCATAGTTGAAATTAGGAATTATTAGATTCTCGTTCTCCAGTTGGCATGTATATCGTTTCCAACCACTATTATCAACGATTGACAAATTTGGTGTAGTACTTCTGAGAAACTGGAATCATGTCGTCATTAAAGATGTTGAAAAAATTGGATGGAGGATTTCATCATGAGCTGACATCAGTTAGAGAACCAGTGAAAAACCTGGGAGTACTGGACAGCTGTTTCATCCTAGTTTGGGACTCTTCATCAGTACGTAACCAACACCACGGTTCGAACCCAGAACACTTTGGTTACAAGGCGAGGTCGTAGACCGTTGAGCCACTGGGACCCAAACCAATGGTCCATGAATTCTAACTTATGCCAATCCACCACACAGCGCGACCGTTTCGCAATGTCTAACTGATGTCAGCTCATGATGAAATCCTCCATCCAATTAAACCAAATCCCTACAAAGCCAATACTTGAAAATTAATCTGGTGCTCACTGGTGACTGGTTCTATTCAGGCAGTTAACCGGCGGTTCTAGTGGGAAGCCGTGACCAGTAGGGTATAGCAGGTTGAATATGAGGCAGTAACTCATGGAAGAAGACATTGCGAAATGGTGGCGATATGTAGTAAATTGGCAGAAGTCAGAATTCATGGGCCATTGGATTGGGTCCCAGTGGTTTATTGGTCTACAAGGTAGCTCACCTTGTAACCAGAAGGCCCTGAGTTCGAATCATGGCGATGGGTGCGTACCGTTGAAGAGTCCCAAACTAGTCTGGCGAAACAGCTGTCCAGTACTTCCATGTTTTCCAGTGGTTCTCTAACTGATGTCAGTTCATGATGAAATCCTCCATCCAATCAAACTAAATCCCTTCAAAACCAATCCTTGGAAATGTTGAATAAACGGCAACTGAACTTATGAAAATTTCGCACATCAAATGGAATCATATTATAGATCATCATGAATTGACGACCTGACGATTAATTAATTTGTTTGAAGCTGCCATCAGTTCTCTGAAGGGACTTGTCAGTATACATATGATTTGAAGAATTTAGATTCTCCAAGTAATTTAATTCATACACTGGCAAGTACTGTCCAAAAAGAGTTCAAATACTACTTATTGTTTCGATCACTTTGAACCCATAAGCGACTCCTATTTAGTAGTAGTAGTAGTGGTGAAAACTACACTACTAATGAGTAGAACAAGACTGCCTACTATTACCAATGGTATCCCTGATTATGATGCACTGGATGATGAAGCAGTCCACGGGGATTCAGAAGACAGGCATATTTTAGACCTACAAGAGGACTCTTAAATATCTAGACTTCAAGGGTAATGTATATCTAATGTTACACAAACTCGAAGATCTACAGACGAAAACCAACAAGTTGGCAGTAGATGAAAGCAATAAAGACAGTGGTGATGAAGGTTCCCAACCAACAACAACACGCATAAATCACCATCAATGGGACAAATGTAAAAAATGTCACCTCTTCCACTTATCTAGGCAAGATCGTTTCAATTACAAGTGGCACAGATGAGAATGTCTAAGGCAGGATTGGGAGAGCAAGAGAGACCTTCATCACTGTGGAATTAAAGTAGGTATGCTTCTGCAGTCAGCATCAGGAACAAGATTCAGATTTTCAACACAAATGTCAAGTCAATCAGTACTTCTAGATAGTAGTTCACAGACTTGGCTTACGCGTCACTGAATGCATTTCCAACAGTCTGTTGCAGACTTTTATCAACAGCTGCCTTCACTGAATTCACATTCAAGACCAGATGGACAACCGAAAGGATAAACAAGCAGCGACTCCGGAATGAACGTACTGAAATCCTACTACCAAATAAATATGCAGAAGAAAAAGTGGAGATAGATTGTACATATGCCGGGAAGACTATTGAGCAATATCAGGAGTCAGGTCGTTGAGTAAGACCCTAATGGGAAACGATACGTTGGGCATCCCGTGTTGATATGGAGTAGGTAGTGTGAGGAAGAAATGAAAGCTTTTGGCCAATTTAAGTAGGACAGGTGGAAATGACGACATGCTGTTGAAATCCTTCTTACGTTGCATTCAGTATCGAAAGAAGTAATCATGAAATAACAACATACTCAGTAGTAGTAATAGTGGCAGCCCAGTAATATCTATATACTTGCATAACATACAATCCTATAATTCTGTTCAATCTTCTCCAACATCACATTAGTTGTTTCAGCCCTCTTAAGATGAATATCATTCATACATATACCTAATGTGCTGTTCTTATTTGTCTTTTCATGTTCAACATTTGGTGTATGAACTGGTTAACAGACATTATCTGTTGTACACATATATATGAATGAATTTTAAGCAATAAAGACACGTTCGCAGGCATACAAACACAGCAATGACAATATCATTAATATTGTTACTATTACTAAATAACGATCACATTGATTTACATAATAAATGGTTATAAACTGGAGTTAAACTTTATTTAGTGATAATTAATTATTGAATTTCTGCACCAACTCGCTTTTTGTGTTCTTTCAGAAAGTAAGAACAGTTCAGTTCAATTGAATATTACTTGCTATACAAATTAATTGATAGATATTTCAAATCTGGCCTCTTATATATGTACGTGGTTTATATTGGGCATCAATAATGACGAAAATGGTAGAAAAATTAACTTCCAAAGTCACACTATGTCTTCAATAAATCCATTCTATTTAACGGATCACATTGTAGACTTAAAGAATAAACTCACTGATATAGTGCACACCAACCACGCCTGGCGGACACAGTCCCAACACCACTATTACTGAAACTCCAAAACTAGAAGCCTTACGTTTCACCTGGAATACAACGCAAGTAACTGAAGTTTACCCTGTTCACTGCGCACTTATTGATTCAGACATGTTCGAAAA